AATATTTTCTGTAATGAAAAAAAATCCTTGAAAGGTTTCATTTACAGGTCAGTACAGAATAGAAAATTTGATTTAGAAACGTTACGGTGAAGAAGATGTCCTTGGTTGAGAATTATGGTTTAAGTTTTGAGATTGAAGGTATACACATGTTCCAAGAGTCACAAATATGTCTGGGTGGAATTTTAAATAAGTATGTGTTGACCATTAGCTTAGTTGTCCTTGATAAAGAGAAAGTTGTATGGGTGTTTATTTGTTGAAATCCGTTCTGATCTGATTAAAGCCACTTCTGTTCAACAAGAGATTTATAATGTTTCTGAATTAATTTGTAAGGAACTTAGCTACTGATTGTTAATTCATTCATATGTTAGTATACTCACTGCTCCATGGAGTTTGACACTGTCACCCCTGTGAGAGTATTATAGACTGACCGTAGTGAATGGTAGACTTAACTCATTCTTAAATAATAGGGGATATCATATCACATGGTAATAATTTTAAATCTGTTGAGATTTGAAGTATGTACCACTTTTAATATGGAGTGCTTGTTCCCTGCTTTTGTTGTTAATTCTGTTGTGAAAATTACATGAAAATGTGAAAAACTCCACAGAAAAAGGTTGGATAAAAAAACAGGATTCATTATGTTGCAAATTCATACAAAAAGAAAGAACAGAAAAGAGCGACGGTGTAGGCAAAGAAAAGGTAGGAGTGGTCAATTTTGTGTGGTCAGTTTTGTGTGGTCAGTTTTAGAGACATGCTCTCTTGTCAAAACTGGTATTGTTAAACAGTCATGTCTATAAATAAACAGTAACATTTTTTATGTTTTATTGTTTAGTTTGAATATAATTATCACCAAAAAGACTGACAAAGGATTAGGCACAAGTTATCACTACTTATCAACGCCTTCTCCCAATATACATATTAATTGACATTACAATACTGACAATACACGTAAATTTGTTACGGTTTGACATCAGAATCAAGTCCAAGATGGAGGAAGTCTGAAAGTGAAACACTCTGACTCTGTCAATAAAAAACCAGTTTCAGCACTGCATTGTCCAAGTACGCGATCACGGTCCTTTAGTAAACAAGCAGAAAAATTAGTTTCCCTTAGAATTGTGGGGATCAAATTTTGTTAAAAAATTTGACGGTGTCATTTTTTTCATTCCTAAAGATGCATGCAACCGAGCTAACTTTTTATGTCTTGTGTAAACACCCTGCTTGTTTAACATACAAGTAAGTCAGTGCTACATGATGGTGACAATAATTAAGAAGCTAACATTTAATTAGATAATTAATTGTCTAGAGACCAAGTGTTGTGTGTCGTAATTAGTCATGATTTGCACAGATGATATTTTACTCTGTATACATATTCACCAATTTCTTCAGAAGACGTGCTGATGTTTTGACAGAAATTAATTTCGAGACAATGAATGACTTTTCCTTGCTTTACAATTGAAGGGACCGAAAAATCACTTAGACTCTAATGAAATTTCGACTCAATGAAATTTGAGTCATCGGAACTAAAGAAGGGAAAAAATCGGGACTTGGATATTATTTTGACTCCAACAGAATTTTGACTCAGGTAATTTCAAGACAACAAGTTTTAGCAGTGCTGTAAATTTTCGTGTATAGTGTGCGTTTTTTCAAGCTAAAACTGTCGTGTCAAAAAGGGGATGCGCATTATATGCAGGAACATGCCATTCTTTGGGTTATCATTCCCGAGTTCTGCGTCCGCCATATTGGATTACCTCCCTTCACATAGTTATATGTAAAAGTCGTCGATCATATATGATAGTTTGGAGATAAAAAAAAAAAAAAAATAAATAAAATTTGAACGAGTTTGGAAGTTTTTGGGCGATTGTCGTTCTGTTCATAAATCGGACAGCCCATCCCACCGATGCCCAAAGTTGGTGACCTCATGACCTCTCTTGATCTGCATGGCCCGCAGGCACAGTTCTGTTGTACTGGCAGCGATGCCGGCATCTCAGTGATTGCATACAAAGTTGAACAGCTCTCTCTCCATGTGGGTGTTTCACTGTCGCACCTATTTCAGCCCTTCTGGTCAGTGGTTGGGACTTTAGACAGTCTTTTTTTTCTTCCGTGCTTTGATAGTTCACTCTGAAATGTCGAAGTGGCGACCGGCAGCACAAAACTCGAGTCTCTCGGCGTAGTCAATGGCGTTCGCTGTTTCCCCATGTCGAAGTCAGTGTAAACAATCTATAATTAAGTACCTTCGGATACCGCAGTAGGTACAGATATGGGGACAAGGTAGGATTGAAACTTTTCAGACAGTTAAAACAACATTGTTTTCTGAGCAATAGCACGCGTTCAGCCCAAGCCAGGTGTCATCAATCTCCTCATACTCAATGTGTTTGTTACCTGTTAAAAACCGTTAGTTATCCAATTAGCCAAGCCTTTCATGCTTGTTAAGTCAGGCACCTGTGTGAATTTGTTTTCATAAGGTAATTAAATATGTTAGGGTCACGATGATTGTGGTTTCCTAATTATCAATGGATCAAACCACAACTGTTTCATCGCGGTACCAGTAATCAATTAATCTTTCTGTAGAAAACCCTCTTTTTTTTTTTAATCTGACCCCAAATAAGTACCTGCGCACTATACCTGCAAATTTACGGTATTTAGAAAAGGTGACGGACTTTCACAGTGGTAGTATCCCCCCTCCCAGATGACACAGGTAACAATATTATACAGGCATTCGTATTCTATCACCTAATCTAATGTCCATCACTACCATGCCTTGGTAATCTTTCACCTGTCTTTCCTTTCCTTCGTGTCGGACTGATCACCTTGCCATCTAGGTTGGGGGACCCCGACAAAGAGACCAACTTATTGTATTGAAAACAAAATCAGCAAAAGTATACAGTTTGATGAGTTGACACAGCCATCCACTTGAGTGCCCACATGAGGTAGACATGAATGAAAACACTTAATTGCACAATCGCACAGATTAAGAATATTTCACATCTTAATGTTACATAACAAACACTACACACTGATTTCATCAACATATAGAATATATCCACATATACACACCAACCATAATGTAGAATATATCCACATATACAGCATACAGAATACATGCACACATATACAGCATACAGAATACATACACATATACAGCATACAGAATACATACACACATATACACACATATATAGCATACAGAATACATACACACATATACACACATATACAGCATACAGAATATATACACACATATAGAATACATACACACACATACACATATATAGCATACAGAATACATACACACATATAGAATACATACACACACATACACACATATATAGCACACAGAATACATACACACATATACACACATATATAGCATACAGAATACATACACACATATACAGCATACAGAATACATACACATATATACAGCATACAGAATACATACACACATATACAGCATACAGAATACATACACACATATACAGCATACAGAATACATACACACATATACAGCCTACAGAATACATACACACATATACACACATATACAGCCTACAGAATACATACACACATATACACACATATACAGAATACATACACACATATACAGCATACAGAATACATACACACATATACACACATATACAGCATACAGAATACATACACACATATAGAATACATACACACATATACACACATATACAGCATACAGAATACATACACACATATAGAATACATACACACATATACACACATATACAGCCTACAGAATACATACACACATATACACACATATATCGCATACAGAATACATACACACATATACACACATATACAGCATACAGAATACATACACACATATACACACATATACAGCATACAGAATACATACACACATATACAGCATACAGAATTCATACACACATATACAGCATATAGAATACATGCACACATATAGAATACATACACACATATACACACATATACAGCATACAGAATACATACACACATATACAGCATACAGAATACATACACACATATACACATATACAGCATACAGAATATATACACACATATACAGCATACAGAATACATACACACATATACAGCATACAGAATACATACACATATATACAGCATACAGAATACATACACACATATACAAACCAACCAGAATTGAAAGTTAATAACAAAGTTGATATTCATGGTCCTAATTTTGACATTTTCTCACTAAAGTATTAAATGTTTATAATTTGCTGTATCTAATTATCATGTGACACAAATTCAGGATATGATAGGTTTTTTGTGTCTGACATGTGATTTAGAATAAGTAGTTTGAATCAAAGCAATAATATTTGAAATTATAACTACACAGGGTTTGAGTCGATTCCCACTAGCTTCAAGTTAGTGCAGTAGCGACTTTGAATTAGAAATATTATGATGTAGAGAAAAGGCATTATCGGCAGACAAATCTTTTGAATATATCAAATAAATCTGCTGACCCCAAACTCCTCAACCTTTTTTCATATTTACGAAAAACTGTTCAAAAAGCAAACTGCTGGCTTTTTTTGTTATTATTTTTATCTTAAAAAACAGAATTGTGTAAATGTAGCATTATATATTCTCCTACCATATTTATTTGCAAACAAACCCCCTTCTTCATTTATACAGAACTATCAATATAATTATAGAATATTTAATCAGCCCTCCTGTAACTTTTAGGTCCAGTGAGGGGGCTTATATGTGGATAAACAAGGTAGTAACCCTTTATTAGGATTCCTTTATGTTTTGATTTTTTTAATTGATTAACATTGTTTCCATAATAAATTCCCTGTTTCTTCAATGTAAAGTGCTTCAGGGAAAAAATATTATCATAAAAAAGCTATAAGAAAAAATATAGAGGAAGTAAACCTTACTCAAGTTGAAATCTGTATATTGTGTATTGGGTTAAAGTTATCTCCCTTAGCGGGACTCATTTTAGTTTTTTTTTCTTTCCCTATCAACAGGCTCTGATGAGGCATCATGGAAGGAGACAATCCGATTGCAGATGGAGGATGAATTAAATCAGAGGGTCCGAGAGGCTCTCGAAACTCCACCACTCGAGCGTGCAGAAAAACAAAAGCATTTACACTCTGGGTCAGGATCAAGGTCGGATGGCTTCGGGTCACGAATTATATTTAACTTTGATAATCGTGACTATCTTAACAATCAAAACTGGCGTGCCATTCAGGCTCAACGTCAGATGCAAAGGCTTGTTAGAATGAATTACATTCAGCAAAATCCAAATATAGACTTCATGTTTCGCGACGAGCTGTCCAAGTCAAATCAGGATGAATTTCCAGGTGTGTTCGGATTAGAAAATCTTTCCGAAGGAATCAAGGATTTAAATCGTCAGAGTTTGGAAAAGTACCCAACTTTACGACAAATTCAGAGACAGTTCTATACCAAGGAGGGATATTTAGCAGCTCTTCGGGCTGGAAAGTTTCCTGATGGAACTAAAATTTCTGTTGAAGGAAATGGAACATATGTGGACAAATTTGGTGTGGTTAGGGATGGAAATGGCCCCTTTTGGCCATCAGATTTAGGACCTTTATTTCCGACTCCACGTTTTTTGTGGTTTACGGAACATCTTCCTGTTGAGCCGCTGTTCTTCCATATACACAGTGAGTATTCCATATTTCTACATCTAATTGGTCGCATGTTGGAACTTTGTCAGTTCAGATTGCTTGATACTGTACAATGTTTTTTGAAAAATTGCTGTCCAAAGTATGGATAATGTGATACCAGAACAGATTTCTTTTCAAAACAAGTTTTTGATTGAAAAATAAACAAAAAAAACCCATAAATTTGAAACGTTTCAAAGGGGCTGAATTTAATCAGTTCCTGAGGTAATTACCTTTCTTTGCTAAAGAATATGTAAGTTTGAATATTTGATTGGAGACCAAAATTTCTAGACTATCAAAGTTCCGCTGTCTATGTTCCAACTTCCCATCTACATTGTATATTCCTTACCTTTTCTAGAAATGTTTAGAATTTGCTGCAGAAAGAAAGAAAGAAGTGACAGAGATGGATTAACACATTTTCAACATAATCATATCAAATTTTCTTCTAGTCTCTACAACACACAGCTGATATCAAAATTGTGAAAAGGTTTTTGTTTTCATAGAATTCAAATTTCAGACCTATTTTGGTATGGAGGAAAAATGCATGGACATGTTAATAATGCAATTAATTGAGGGAACATGATGTGTTCTATGATTTTGGTAATTAAAACTGGAAAATTTGAACTTTGAAAAAACAACCTTTTCATGAAGTAAATACATATACTTGTTATACATCAGAGAAACAGCATGTGTACGAAGTTTCTTGATTTTGGAAAGAATTTTTGTCATCAAACCTTTAATATACTTGGACCGCCTTGTAGATGTTACAAGGTATAAATATACAAATAGACATTCATGTGAAGTGAAATATTGGACATATGTCACAAACTCAAGGTAAGTGTGACTATACAGAATTCAGCTGAGAAGTAAGAAGTCAAAATTAAGGTAAGTGTTTGAAATCTGATCTGTAAAATATTTTGTGTAAGACTCCATAGAAACTCAAACATCATGAGAAAATTTTCAGCACATCAAGGAAGAAAACTTTTTCATGTTTAAAAAGAAAAAACTTTCAAACTGTTACAAGAAAACAAAAAATATATGTTTTCTGACTGCTTCCAAGACTCTGTCAAACCTACAATGACCAAGAAAGACAACTCTTTCAAACCTACAGCTGCCAAGAAAGACAACTGTCACAGGTATAAGGAAATAACTTTGAAGTTTTCTGGTAGCTACAAACATTGTTATTCCTTTGTAGAATATAATCTTTCCACTGTCAGATTTGTGGAGAAAATTGAGCCCATTTCAGTGCAGCTTTTATCAAAGGCATATAACTGGATTCTGAATAAATTCTAAGGACAGAAATGATTTTTGTACTAAATAGTGGACTGTAACAACCTCTACTGACCATGTACAGTAGTGTGTCAAACACTTTGTATGATGTATACAATCAGCTAGGGATGGGATATATGACTTTCTTGCAAGAAAATCAGGTAAAATTAAAAAAAAAATATGAACAACAACAGAAACGGACTGGCTTGTTACAAAATTCTACTAAACAGAATTTTTTTGCAAGTAATTGGGTAAGTGCATGGCTTAAATGATTAACCATACATAACTGTTTGGTGGAATCAAATTTCAGCACAAGCAAAACACATGCACATTGGCATTAATTGGCATATACTGGTATAGTGAAATGGTAATTTAATGCAAAAGTTCAGAAATTTGCTAAAATAAGGATACTGTTAAATGACGTATGATCACAGTAGTCTTAATTTATCTTTGATATTGTACGAGTAAACAAAATGGTTTGTTTTTTAATGTTTCAATCACTAATATATCTAGATGAGTTTGGTTGATTAATTAATGAAACAAATTCAAAATTGTGTTGATGATGTACATCAGGCATTATTAGGTATTTTTCAACAAAAATCATGTTTGATTGTTATGATGTTACCTCTAAGTAACAATTTTAATATGTTTGGTGTATGAAATATCCAAATGATCTTATCTGGTCTGTGTATATGGAGTTATCCCCCTTTTTTGACACTGCAGGAGAGAAATGTCAATGTTTGTACAGACTTGTTGATCTCAATCACTTTGATGTTTGATGCTACTGGTCAGTTTTAATGGCTAGACAAACATTGACCAGACCCTGCTAGTGACAACAAGTTGGTGCTATCTGCCAAATTTGACGTGCTATCTCTCCAAATAAATATTGACCAAACGCCTACTGTGATTGGATTACAATTTAACTGTCCAAAAGCATTTAATTTAAAATTTCAAACTGTGGTTTGAACTAAAGGACAGCTTATCAAAGATTTAAATAGAACAAAAATCAATGGGTAAAAAAAAAAGAAAAAAAAAATGACACAACTATAAATATTTGTTTCTTACAGTATTTTTTCATACATACGGTTTGCTGTTGTGAATGTGCCCTTGAGTAAAATCCTCTCCCCATTCACTCTGGATAGCAAATACGCAGTGGGCTTCCTGCATGGTGTTCAGTGAGCTAGCCACCATCTTCAAGGAGACTTCCCCCTCATTCACAATGACCCTGGCAGTTTGTTGGCTGTTAAATACAACAAATTTACAGTCATTGAACATTGAATTATACAAGATTATTGAAAAAAACACTTGTGCAGTTGTCAGCTTAAAGGATATGTCCATATAAGGTGCTAAATATTAGGACTGATATACAACCCAAGGTTTATTTCTTCTCATCCTTCAAGAGTTAAACAGTCTTGTCGTGTAATCTACATTGTGTAAATAGTAAAAAGCTTTATTCTGTGTCTGTCTGGAATTTCTGTCTCTTGTGAATGCATCTTTGTAAAATAATTCAGCTTTTTATGAACTTGTAAATGGTAACCTTATCACAGGACCTCCATTACCCATCGTGTGTTAACCTCTGTTATTATTTCCCCCAGATCTAATCTTTCGGGAAAATCTGACATTTTGAAAAGAGTTGGTGTGAAGGGAGATAATTCCACATCATCAATTAACTGAAGGTGTCAGGCCCTTGACATTTTGACAAAACTCACTGGCTGTCAAGACTGACTTGGCTCACAATGTCTCGGACCATGGTATGTCTACTAAGGAGCAATAATATAGGTTAGGTCATCAGGAGGTGAAAGTTTATTATCAACTGAAGCATTAGGTGAATTAAAAGTAAATTGATTACCCTTGGTAAACGACCATTAATAACAGAGAGTATTTGTCTGCATCCTCAAATTTATTGTGAAAAAAAATTGCCTTATTTTAAATCTAACATGATTTTCATTTTCTCTTTATTTCCAAAATAAAATGAAATTTCTTTGAAATCAGTTTTATCAAATGTCTTTTACCCCCAGGCATAATACTTGCCAACTTTTTAAAAAATTCATTGGGGATATTTTACATACCCAAAATAAAAACATAGATAAAATGTAGGTGTACCTTTCAGTAAGAAATAACACTTCGAAATGGCATCTGTTGGATACTTCAGTATGAAATCATTCAATCTTAGAATATAAGAATAGATTATCAAATTCACTTGTTGAAAATAGCAAAATAAAGGATGGGTGTGAGCTTTTCAGAGGAGAAAAAGATGTTCTGTTAACATCAATACAGGTATATATTTAGGTGTGTTTATTACCAAATATGGACTTATTACCAAATATGAACTTATTACTAAATATGAACTTATTACCAAATATGAACTTATTACCAAATATGAACTTATTATGACTCAAAGGCTTATTACTAGGTATGGGCTTATCACCAGGCACTGGCTTATTACCAGAGTTACAGCCAAATTTTGGAATAATTGTGATTTTTAGCTCTTTCTAAATGTACTGAATGATTTAAGGAGATTTTCAGTATCACAATCAGAAATACCTTACTTAACATGTTGGAGTGTGTTGTACTGTATATTAAAAGTACGATACTTGGTTGAAATATCTACCGACCACTATACAAATATTGACAGTAGAATGTCTGTGTTATGTTTGTTCCTAAGGACAACCCTAATTATGTCACCGTGCCCTCCATATATATTTGTTTGGAACACAGGTAGTCATTGTAGTCGTCAAATATCTTTATTGTCAGTTTTCGGTTTTTTTTATAACAGAACAAATGTAGGATATACTTAAATATAACTCTCAGTGGAGAAGTATTCTTTTGTTGACCGGAATACTTGCAGGTAAATATTTTGTTCAAGTTCATACTTTAGTGTGTAAAATGCAAGTTTACAGTGTTTTATTAATATTCATGTAAAATCCTACTGCAGTGTTATTTGAAATAGATATTTTTCAATTAAAAAAAAATGCTTTTTCATGACAGTGTATCCTTTGACTTTATGTTTTTTTTTTTTTTTTTTTATAAAAATAAAGAAAAAAAATGTCTTGAATTGAGAAAGAGAGAGAGAGAAAGGATATAAAATGAAAAAATACTTGGTTCTAAATGATAGAGAGAGAGAGAGAGAAAGGATATTAATGAAAAAATGCTTGGTTCTAAATGATATTATGGGGCAGGGAATGATCTTTGACCCTGAAAATCGGAACAGCAGGTTAACCTTCGTAAGCATACTTACCAGAAAAGTTCACCACTGCGTGTGTATGTAGTACCCTGTGTCAATATTTCATCATTCCCAACACAATGTGAATAGTCAATGTTTGTGTAATCTCTTAGTCGAGTTTACCTGCTTATAACAGTCATTCATCTGATCATACGTACCTAGTTCAGTAGAAATTCAGTAGATTTTTACATACAAGTACAAACTTTTCATATTAGTTTGGGAATAAATATCTGTTGTGATAATCAATGGTCTTTTGACATTTTGGCAAATGCTCTTTTACGAAAATTTACTTGGGATGTAACTTAAAATTTATAAAAGCGCTACTTCAAGTTTTAACTCTGATTATTTTTTTTAATTTTAATTTCCTTTAAAAAAATTTTTTTTCTGATGTCAAAACAATTGTCACAATTGTAATGGAATTTTCAATTCTCAAAAGTTCTTTAATACACCTCTCCAGGTCTTTGAAAATTATAAGAAAGAGAAAGAGGGGGTAGTCTGTGTGTGTGGA